CTGCCTCCTAACACTCCAGCAAAGACTCCAACACCAGAAAAGGAGCCTCAAACTGCTCCTAGTCTAGCCCTTGCACAGGTCAGGATTGCAAGACAGGCTATAAGTGGAAGACAAATTGAACAGAAACATATTTACAGACTGCTGGGCATTGTGAATAGCATGTCTGATAAAATGGAGGCAAACATGCAGAAGCATATAGGTAGTATTTTTGATGGTATGTTCATTTCATGAATGCTCACTTTAGTGAAGGGGCTGTGCCCTAAAAGTGGCAGTGGGAGCGCTTTTTTTCCAGGCTGCCTGCTCAGTCCACATTTCAGTCACTCTGGAGAATTCACCACCCTGGTGACCAAAAAGGAAGTGAGTAGATCTCTGCAGTGTTGGTCGCAATAAAAGCCTGAAATAGATTATAAGCTTTTCCAACACCACGTAATAAAAATGTTTTAATTTTTGTATGGGCCCCACATTAGAGAGATTTTGATGATTTCCTGCATCAGTGACCACGTAGGAAGTAAGGGAAAATCTTCCCAATGCGTAAAAACACACTCCAAAGGCATTCAAGGTCTCATTTTCTTTAGAAAGCAGTCACAGCCTAGAGTAGAAACACTACACATGCATGCCCATGTGTTTGCATTCTCTTGCAGATGCCGGGGTTGCTTTTAATTTTTTTTTGTTAGAGTTATTTTATTATTCTTTACTTTTTTAACCCTTTTTCACAACAAGCCTCTATGTGGCAACATTGGCAGGTGACGGGTTTTTATGAAGACTTTAAGTATCTATTAGACCCCTCTTGTCTCCACTGCACTCCATTGCAGATGATCAAGCACAGGATTGTGTTTGATTGTCCATTTACTTGGCACTTCAGTTGAGTTTCTGACAGCTCTGAAGCATGACAGGGTCATTTAAAAAAAAAAATTCACATATATTAAAATGCGCATTTTAGGTATGACGATTACTTAACCCCATGTCATGTTGCATTCTATTAGCGCAACTGCTTATCAAACCCAAATTTCCATTAAAAATAAATGTAAATTAATTTTACTGCACATAAACTCAATATATCACCCAATGCCTTTGCTAAAATGTAAAAGATGAGGTTGCGCTGAGTAAATAGATACCAAACATGTCAAACTTCAAAATTGCGTGCGCCTGTGAAATGGCAAAAAACTACAATACCCCAAATTGTCTGTTGGCGATGCTAAAATAGCCATCAGTTCAGAGCCAACTGTGTATAATGACCCTAGAAATATTGCTTTCACTCCAGCATGTATGGTGATACCTAATAGTGGCGTTATCATTGTTTTTGTATGTAGGTGCACCCGACATGGGGGGTGGGGGGGTTTACATTTATTTTATTTAACTTTATTTGTATATATTTTTTTGCTTAACTTTATTGTTATCACATAGGGGACTCACAAACCACATAGGGGACTCACAAACCTGTCATGGTGGCAGGAGGGCCAGCAGAGGCCGAGATGCATGGCTGGGGCGGGGGGGTTTGTTGCACATTTGGCAGCCCATGGGAGTGATCAGGCGACATCACTTACGGTATAAAGCTGGTAGTCTGCTTACAGAGTAGGCCAAGGTAACAACTAGGAGGACTAAACAGACTATTTGATATAACACAGGAAGTGTTCAGGGAACACCGAACAGCTGTGAATTTTTGACAGAATCAACAAATGTTTTGCATTGATCAAACAGCTCCAACAGGCACTACATAGCACAAGAGAGAAGTCATGGGGGCTCTATGTAAATTTTGCTATGGCAATCCATGATCTCTATTACCGGTCTGAATTTCTGTAGAGTATTGCTGGGAGTGCTAGTCCTCTATAGCCATTACTAGTCTGAATTTCTGTAGAGAGTATTGCTGGGAGTGCTTGTCCTCTATAGCCATTACCAGTTTGCATTTCTGTAGAGAGTATTGCTGGGAGTGATAGTCCTCTATAGCCATTACCAGTCTGAATTTCTGTAGAGAGTATTGCTGGGAGTGCTTGTCCTCTATAGCCATTCCTATTCCTCATTTCTGTATAAAGTATTTCTGGAAGTTGTAGTACTCTATACAGAAATGCAGAATGGTAATGGCTATAGGTGGGCAGGGCGGGCATTGTAAGAATCTTGCGCCGGGGCCCATCGATAGGTCCCCACTGTATACATACAATTTAAAACCTTAAACTTGATCTGCAAATTGATCCCCCGGAACTTGTTAGTGATGTACACTCTCTTCCTTAGTTGACACAGCTCACGGGTTCTGCTCTTCAAACAAATCGGAAATCTCTCATATTATCTGTGCGGCATCAATCAGATTTATCGATAAAAGCAAAGAGAAATTCTACTCACAAATGTAGCGGATATCAGTGCTTAAGGTATTTCACCAATGGGGTGGCGTTACACCGACAGCTGAAATTGGAAACTATTTTTAAATGAATCACTTGGATCCTTTTAATTGAATTTCATCCCATTGGTGAGATACCTTAAGCGCTGATATCCGCTACATTTGTAAGTAGAATTTCTCTTTATTTTTATCGATAAACCTGGTTGATGCCGCACAGAGTGGTGCGCTCTCCTTGTGTTTTTTCGTCTACCTTAAGTTTGATATTCTACTTAACTGTATCATTGGAGTCTCAAAACCATGTCTCTTTTTCGGACCATCCTCTTCTTTCCCCATGTTTTCACCTGTCCCTCCAGCGGTGTGACGTCACTCCGATCCAGCACTGACTGCTCTGTCTCTCCGATCCAGCGGTGTCTGCAGGCGGGTGCACGCGTCCATAGACTTACCTTGCGTCTCTGGTCGTCTCCCGGCCGAGAATCGGAACTGCGCATGCGCCCGCCCCAAGATCCTTTGCGGCCGTACGAGCAGTTCTTGATTCTCGGCGCGGGAGCAAGCGGCGATAACGAGGTAAGTTTAAAATGATTTTAAACGTTTTTTTTTACACTTCTTGCCTATATCTACTGCATGCTAGCAGTAGATATAAGCAAAAAAAACGGAGGGTTTAGAACCCCTTTAACTCCACTTTGACCCAATTAGTCATTCAAAGTCTCGCATCCAGGAAGCAGTATGGAAAATCTTTTCTCCATTCTAGGAGAGCGGAGGTGTCACAATATATCTTGAGTCTAGGACAGAGGGTCAGTTATTGAGGTTGCAGATCTACTTCTTTATCCATGCATCACTGGGGATGTCCATTACTACACCTAGCTCTAATTGGCAATTCTGCTGTTCACACCACTCAGCAGCAGTGACTGGGTCCATCTTGCTGACTTAGCTCACAATATCCAGATGTGATCATTACTCCAGAAGGGTCCAGGACAAAGCCCCCATGTGTAGCGATAACTCCCTAGGGAGCTGAGGGATAGATGAGCCCTGATGCCCCCCTGAACTAGACCCACTACTCATCGACAGACCAGCAGCATAAAGTTGGCTTTATTGTAAAGGGGAAGAAGCCCTGCAATGCAAGTTTAATTCAAACAGTATCAACAACAACAGTAATAATCCTAATACTAAACACTGGTACAAAGAGGTATCCATACAAAATAAGTAACAATACAATGAAACAAAAAATCCTAAAAGAGAAGCTTGTGGCAACACTTAACTTGCTTTAACCCTTTACTATCACCAATCACATTGCCCAGTGATGTACAGTAGATCTATCACCAATCACATTGTCCAATGATGTACAGTAGATCTATCACCAATCACATTGTCCAATGATGTACTGTAGATCCATCACCAATCACATTGTCCAGTGATGTACAGTAGATCCATCACCAATCACATTGTCCAGTGATGTACAGTAGATCCATCACCAATCACATTGTCCAATGATGTACAGTAGATCTATCACCAATCACATTGTCCAGTGATGTTCAGTAGATCCATCACCAATCACATTGTCTAGTGATGTACAGTAGATCTATCACCAATCACATTGTCCAGTGATGTACAGTAGATCTATCACCAATCGCATTGTCCAGTGATGTACTGTAGATCCATCACCAATCACATTGTCCAGTGATGTACTGTAGATCCATCACCAATCACAATGAAGGCCAATCCTGACGACCTACTAAAAGTAAACTGCCAACATGAGGTGCTCTTGATGGAACTCTCATTGCAAATGACAGCTCCCCAGCCAGCACGTGAATGTAAGCGCATGGCGGGGATGCTGGTGGCCTCTTGCAACCAATGACGTATCCCCAGCCCATTTAGCTGCCGCCTGGCAGCTGATTGGTGCCAGGGATGCGTCATTTGTTGCTTGAACGCCATCATCCGCTAGTGTCCTAGCAGTCACTTGCTCTGAGTGGGAAGTTGTAATAAGGCTACTAAATGTATTACTTCCTGTTTCAGCTGTAGGTTCGTCTTAGCAGGCAAACGAAGTTCAGTCAGTCATCAAAGCAGAACATTCTGCTGGGATTAAAACTTGAGCTAGAGGAATAGGAGAAGAACATAACGGACATGGTTGTTATATGATTGTTTCTGCATTAAGCGGGGGGCGGGGATCAAAACTGGAGCAGATTTGCCAATCAGCTTCTCTTTCTCAAATCTTGCCTGAGCAAACTGAAAAGAGATGGTGATTGGTTGTCATGGGCAACTGCTCCAGATTCTGTTTGCTCCAGTTTTTATAAACTCCCCCCATGATCTCTCAGCGTGAATATCAGTATTTTATTACACCTGTGTACACGAGCTCTGATTCTACAGTCACTGATATAAACCAGAACTAAACACCTCCTATATTCCTCTCCAACGTAGTCAGTTCTAGTGAGAAGTCGGCTATCACCTCAGGGTCGCTTCCCCCCCTCTCATCACCAGCTAACTTCCGCCACCCTTCAACACCATCCCATAATGCACTGCGAACTTCCGCCCTTCCTATACCAAGTGAACAGCGCGGCCTTCTATGACTGCGCTGATTTCATTTCTTTCCGCCCCTTCAATAGAATTGACCAATCAAGTGTGACTGACAGGTCTCTAAACGAATCAGCGTTAAAGCTGTGCGGTGGTGGTACCTATCAGTTTGCGGTGGGCGGGTTCTGTTGTGACCGGCTGCTGGTTTCGCTTTTGGGTAGAAGAAGGCCAGCGCACCGGAGTCAGAATGGTGAGAGCTGTGTGAATGTGTGGGGTGGGGGGTACATGGCGGTGTGACCGGGGGGTGGTTGAGGAGATGCGCCAGCGGGGATTAGGTCTCTTATAACAGCGCCGGTATGCTGGAGAACAACATCAGCGGCATCAGTAATCCGAGTCTATGAAAAAGCACTGCAATGGATGACAGAGGAAGCGGTGCTCCCCTTTTCTGATAGGATCCCGGTGTTCTATGGGATTAGAGGGCCGGGTAGAATCAAGTTTGGGTAGTTTAAGGTCCTGTGTACAATTGATGAGAAGAGGAATGCCCTGTTGATGACGATTTGAAGGATTGAGCCAGGCTGTTATTTCTAATTGACTCTGAGCAGTTATTCAGCATGCTTGTAATAAATAGCAATGAAACCAGGATGTTCAGGGCTTTCACAGCATAGTAGTAAAATTACTGCGCAAATGTGTTAGATTTAAATGCCCCGCCTGCAAGTAATAATCATGGAATAGCCATGTGTAATTTCATATTTAACTGTCTAAAATCCAGCTGTACTCTACAAAAAGAACACAATTTTGTTCTGTTTAGATTTCCCCTTCCTTCCTGTCTAGTGAAATCATTCTCACCAAGGGTGGGGG